CCGGCCGCGCCCCCGCCGCTCCCGGGGCGAGCGCTCCGCGGCGTGGGGCGGGGGTGGGAGGGGGTCTCTCCTGGGCGCGGAGCTCACCCCCCAGGTCACCACCCCGAGCGGCCCGCTGGGATGATTGCCCCTCCTAGCCACCCTTCACTCTCCAAGGTGGGGAGGGGCGCTTACCTCCAATCGGCGAGGAGAGTCAGGCCCGGGGTTTCACGGGATGGGCAACTGGTCTGGTTCCTAAAAACAGGAAGACTTCCAGGGTTAGGCTGGGGAGAGGGACGTGAGTCAGATCTGAAGCCAGCCCGCATCCTCCATCTCCCCTGTGCAGCCTCTTTGGTCTCAATAAAGCCCAGAGGCTTCTCTTCATTCATTCATTCACTCAGTCGCTCATTCATTGAATGCATTACTACTGAATACCCACTGCTTGCCCCCGCTTCTGTTTTAGGTGCTGGACATAGCGACTGAACAAAATAGACAAAGACTCCTGCCCTCCAGTAGGTTGCCTTCCGGCCAAAGCAGACAAACAATAAACAAATAAATAAGCAAATTATGAGGTGTGTAATATGATGACCAGTGGTAGGGAGAAAATAAAGCCAGAAGGGGGAAATGCAGTGGGGCGGGTGTCAGGAGTTTTGAAATTTCCAGTGGGTGCTTGGGGTGTCACTGGAGTGATATTTGAATTAAGAACTGAAGGAAGGAGAAGGAAGCTAGCTGGCTGTCTGGGAGTAGGGGGTGGGGTTGATGGCACCAGGGCTCAGAACATCTGGGGCAGAGACTCAGTGGTAACTTGTTGGTTGTTTTTCCCTTCTGCCTGATATCCATGTTGGGCATTCAGTTACAGAGACACACTCCCAGAGGTGGATGAATGATACTTAGGAGAGAACGTATGGGCCCAAAAAAGCCAAGGAAGAAACCTACGTTAGTCAACATTTATCCAACACCTATGTCCAAGACAGTGTGCTCGTTTCTTTCTGTGTTTTCTCAAGACCCTATGAGAAAAGAACTCTTCTCTTCATCATTTCTATTTTGTGGAGGGGACACCCAGTTGCAGGGAAATTGAATTCCTTGCCCAAGTCCCCTCAGCCATGGAGGAGAGGAGCTGGGACTTGAACCTGACTGTGGGGTCTATTCCAGAGCTGAGCACTTAACTGTCCTGTCACACTTTTCCCCTGGGGCCCAGGGAAAGGATGGAATGACTGCTACAGATGATGCTATATTCCGTGTCATAAAATTTGGGGCCCGAGCTACTGGTGGGAGAGGATTCCTACTTATTGAGTTCCTACTGATAACCGAGCATTTACTCATTTTCTTCTGCTCTTCGCAACAGTCCTTTGAGAGAGGCATAACTCCTCTCCATTGACAGAGGAGAAAGTGGTGTTCAGAGAGACCTCCTCCATCCCTGAGGTCACAGGCTAGCAGACATGTGACATGGCAGTGGGCAGCGGCGGCTAGAGATGGAAGAGTAAACCTGGTCCCTCCTTTTCCTCCCAGCCACAGCCCTGCATCTTGGACTTCTCACCTCTGCCCTCAATGCTCTCTATAACTTGGTATTCCATGATACGAAAGGAGAGGTCACTCAGGGTGATTTACATCTAAGCCCCTCAACCTAGAGGCAGGTTCTTGACCTCTTTTTATTTTTACTTTTTGGGAAGGAGGGTAGGTGGTTATCACACACCTACGTAAGTTTTTTCTTTTTTTGAGGTGGGGTCTCACTCTGTCGCACAGGCTAGAGTGCAGTGGCATGATCATGGCTCACTGCAGCCTTCACCTCTGGGCTCAGGCAATCCTTCCACCTCAGCTCCTGAGTAGCTGGGGCTACAGGCATATACCACCATGCCTGGCAAATTATTTGATTTTTTTGGAGAGACGAGTCTCACTATGTTGCCCAGGTTGTTCTCGAATTCTTGGGCTCAAGTAATCCTCCTGTCTTGGTCTCCCAAAGTGCTGAAATTACAGGCATGAATCACTGTGCCCAGCCAACACCTATGTAAGGTTTTAATGTTCTCTCATCAAAATGCACAGACTCCCCAAATGTGCAAAATGCACAATTTCAACGTTTTTTTCTGAGGCAAAGAAATTTGTGGTAGAGCTAGGCTTGGAAACATATTTTTTTTCTATTTCAATTAAACTGACCAAAGTCATATTTGAAGATATTAAAATAAGAGATTCACAGGTTTATAGCGGTTTAGATTTCAGAAGCTCTCTTGTTATCCGAAAGGTGGTGCGTGAGGCAGAGGGACCTGGCAAGCTTCCATAGCTGGTCTGGTGCAGAGCTGGTGAGCATACTCCTCCCTGGCCCACAGGACAGTGCTCCTTCTGCTGCTGCAGCCACTCGACTTGCACGGTAGGACGTGAGACCAGGAAAGTCTTGGACAGCTCTCTGCCAGTGTTCTTTATGAAAAGGAGAGATTGTCCTTGGTCCTGGGTGGCTAATCTGCCTACAGTGAGGGGCTGGCCCAGATCATCTTTTTTTTCCTTTTTTTTTTTGAGACAAGGTCTCACTCTGTCACGTAGGCTGGAGTGCAGTGGTATGATAATAGCCCACTTGAGGTCTTGAACTTCAGGGCTCAAGTAGTCCTCCCAACTCAGCCTACCAAGTAGCTAGGATGGTAGGTACATGCCACCATGCCCGGCTAATCTATTTTATTTTATTTTTGTAGAGATGGGATCTTGCTTGGTTGCCCAGGCTGGTTTTGAATTCCTGGCTTCAAGCTATCCTCCCGCCTCAGCCTCCCAAATTGTTGGGGTTACGGTTGTGAGCCACTTCACTAGCCCCCATATGATCTTTGAGAGCCTCTAGCTCCAGGTGGTTAGCTTTCCTCACTGGATAAAGCTGCCCCTGAAGGCACCCATTGGCCTTCCTCCTGTGCACCTTCCACAGCGGGGTGGGAGTAGGGTATCACACACTCAGTTCCCACCATTCCCATGTGTCTTTAAGTCTGGGATGATGGGAGCTTCTCTGGAGCTAGTTTACTCCCAAGGGAGAACGCCAAAGCATTAGCACAAAGGCCGGGGTGTGGGGAGGGATAGGGCAGGACAGAATAAAGAGCAAATTCCAAATCCACGTTCTGATGGTGGTGGCCCATTTCCCACTTCCCTGGGCATTAATTTCACCAGCTATTGAACAGCCAGCAACACACCATTGAATTTACAGAGGCGGTGTCTACATAATCACAGTAACCAGCTGCAATGTGAAAACTCAGCCCCTCAGACATCTTTCTATGGTGGCAAAAGGCCAGGAGAAGAAAACAAAAAGAGCAAATCTGAGGTTTAGAGTTGGTTTATCCCTATTGTGAAATAGAATCGTTCGTTACCTAGATGAGAACTTACGTCTTCATTCAGGTGTCAGACAGCATGTGGAAGAAATTATTGAGCCCAGTGGAGACATTCAAAATGCTTGCAGATCTCAGACATGTTGTTATTTACGGCGTTGTTCGTGACGGCGAAACAAGCATCCCACTGTAGGGGAAATGGGAATCGACCTTAATGGCAGCCATGTAGCAGGACCTCACCAGACAACCTTTGTTAATGGTGCTTTCCTTGCAGCTCTTCTCCTCCCTTCACCGGAGATCCCTCTTAACCCCTCTGGCTGATTTTTGACCCATGGACTTGACCGTTTGTTTAGGTGTCATGAGGATACAGACGATATTTTATTTTCTCGGTACTCCCTGGGGCCAAGCCAAGTACAGAGCTCTGACTCACTCGACGCTTAGAGAAGAACCTTTTCATTATCCGTCTTATTGCATTAGAAACCTCTGATGTTGCAAACTCCCATTTCTGTGAGGCCTCTAGGAGAAGCTGTCACTGAACTTGACCTGTGGGAAAACTGAGACCACGGGAGATTCAGAGATGTGCTCAGGGGGTCACACAATTTCCCACAAGTCTCCCTGTCTAGCTCTTTCTGGCTTTCATTGCAACCAGGCACATACAGGAACATCTACTGTGTGTAAGGCACCACGCTAGGTGCTGTGGTTGAATCAAGGATGAGCTCAACTCAGCAAACGATACCTTAGCATGGAGCTAGGTGCTGTAGGAGATGATGAAATGGTTAAGCACCTTTCAGAGAGTTCCTACTATGTGCCAGGCATGGTGTCAGGCACTCCACATGCATTTATTTAAATCTTCACAACAATATGAGGGAGGAATGATCTTCATCTAACAAACGGGGAAACTGAGGCCCAGAGAGGTTCTGTGACATGGCCAAGGCCCTTCGGTGAGTAAGCAGCATTGGTATTCAAAGCATTGTTGTCTGGCTCCAAAGCTTGCATCCTTCTCCCTGCACCAGACCGAGAAAAAAAAAAAAAAAAAAAAAAAAAAAGAGGCAGCAGAGGGCTCAGTGTTAGCCTGAAGGAAATAACAGCAGAAAACAGAATGTGATCAGGGTCCTGAGTAAGGCAGAGGTCAGGGAGGGGAGGGCTGGGCGGAGCTGTCCGGCAGAGAAGGCTCCCCAGAGAAGCCCCTTCGGTGAGTCTTCCCTGTCTTCTGGGCCAGCACTCAGTCTGCTGAGGAGTCGAGAGCCAACTTGGATTCTAACGGTGCTTCCATCATTTAATAGCTACTAATGTGACCTTGGGCAGGAGAGTAAAGTGATTAAGAAGCTGAACTCTGGCATCAGACAGACCTGGATTTATGTCCTAGTTCCACTAACTTATTCGCTGTATGTCCTTGGGCAAGTTACTGAACCACACTGGACCCCCGTTTCCTCACGTGTGAAATGAAGACTGTAATAGTCCCTACCTCATAGGGCTGTGGTGAGGATTAAACATGATCAGATGTGGAAAGTATCTAGCACAGAGT